GAGGCTTCTCTCAGTCAGTGACCTCAGAGTTCAAAATATAAATCTATCCTGTGTTACCTCAATGCCTAACTTCTATAGCCCTGACGGTCTGAACCTGAAACGATTTCTGCCAACATTGCCTTTTCTTTCCTGATAAACTATACCTTCAAATCATGAGTCAAAATAACCTTTTCTTCTTACGTTGCTTCTTGTCAGGTGTTTGGTCACAGCAATAAGAAAACTAATGATAGAATTTCTCTGTGATTTATATTACAGGTCGCTCACCACAGACTATATTCAAGCAATATTTAACAGGTTATTCCTTCTCCTTACTGTCATTTACGTCATTGTTGTACATTTTATTTTACATACTCTATAAAGTCTTAATTCCTTCTTACAGTTGTCCTCTGGTGTCTGTAGAGCTTCCTTCTAGGATCTACTGTGGATGCTGGCACTCGGGGACACTAGTTCTTTATACGGCAGTAGCTCTTATAACATCTTGCCCTGTACCCCTCCCCACTTAAAGGCAGAATGATCCTTTTCAAATCAAATATCACATCACCCCTCCTCAAACGTTCTAGCGGCTCCTGATGTCGAGCGCTGTAATGGCTGAAGTCTTAATAATGGCGTCTGAGGGACTAGGCAGGCACACTGCTCTCTTTAATGTTACACCAATGCAAAGGACATGCCCCAGCCGCAGGGCCTGGTACCTGTAGTTCTCTCTGGCTAAACTACACTTCCCTCAAAAAACTGCCAGGTTTGGTCTCTTTCATTGCTTGATCAAGTGTCACCTCCCAGGTGATGTCTTTCATGACTAAGCACCCAGACTGAAGAGGCTTCAGCCTCTCTTGGTTTCCCTGCCACCCTCCCTGATCTTTCTGCCATAACACTCATTAGATCCCACAAGCAGATACTTTACATCTTTATGCCACTAGAACCCCAACTTCTCAAGGACAGGGCCTGCAGTCTGTTGTGCACACTGCAGTATTATCAGAGCCTAGGCACTTAGTATCTTATGGGATGGATGGATGGATGGATGGATGGATGGATGGATGGATGGATGGATGAGAGAGAGACCTGGCTTTCCCATCTTCAGGACCCTGTGTACCTGCCACATTAAAAGTATGCAGTGAGTGGCCGATCCTCTCCTATCTCTAGCTGCCCAGAGGGTTTGACTAGATCACTAGGATCTTTCCACCCTGAAAAACCTTCCACAGGCCAGATGGGCTCAGTTCCTCAAGACAGCACGCTTAGACCTGTCTGCATCTGCTTAATTAGGAAGACTGCAATTCCTCTAGAACTTTGCAGTTAAGGCCCTCTTCCCCTTGAAACAAGCAGCATTTGGCAGCTGTGGAAGTACGAGTCTAGCTGCTGTGGTGGTCCATGTATAGCAATCTGCACATCAGATCAACATTTGCCCGAGTGTTGGATCACTGGACTTGTAAAAGCCGCCCAGCTTCAGTTGCAGGGAAGTACTGCAAACCACACTTGCCTGTTCCTTAACACTGGAAATTCTGCTTCTCCTTGTCCCCCTCAATTTAACTGCTAATTCCTTAGCAGCCCATGCTGTTGGTTTTGAGGGTTAGCCAGAGCCCCTCATGAAAAATAACACAATTGTGTACTCTAGGCCAAAAGGAGGGTGTGGGGATGAAAGGGCACTTGGAACAACAGAAGGGCACCCTGACAGACTGGGAGCATGGGCTATCCATCCTTCGAGGTAATTTCTACCCATGGCTCTCTAGACTCAATCTTGATTTTCGGGAGAAGACTTTCAAATCTTCATTTTCCATCTGAAACCAGCCCAGTGAGCTCAAATGTTCCGGTGTCCACCACACCCTATCTGACCAGGATCACATTCTCTAGAGAAACTAGCTAAAGTGATGCTTCAACATGCCAGTCAATCCTGGGGACACTAAGCTTCTCAACAGCCTCGCTGTATGGTCATTTAGAGCAGCGGTTCTCAACCTGTGGGTCGCAACCCTCTTCAGGGTCAAAGGACCCTTTCACAGGGGTCGCCTAAGATCATCAGAAAACATGGATATTTAGGTCACAATTCATAACAGTAGCAAGACTACAGTTAGAAAATAGCAACAAGAATAATTATGTGGTTGGGTCATCACAACATGAGGCACTGTATTAAAGGGTCACAGCATTAGGAAAGTTGAGAACCACTGATTTAGAGGATACAGTTGGTTCCAATCACAGAATCATAATACTTACCCAGGAACCCTTACCCTTTTTCCTGTCTTTTTCTCTTTTGAAATAGAGTCTCGCTAAGTTATTGAGGCTAGCCCCGAACTTTCTGCAACCCAAGTAGACCTTAAACTCATAATTCTTCTGTCTCTCAGCCTTCCAAGCTTGAGTGATATGTCTAGACCACCAGGCCCAACTACCCACTAGACAACAACCCTAACCCCTAAATGGCTACTGAACTCTTAACTGAGCCCCTCTACTTGGAGAAGCAGGAAAGCAGAGTAAGCAAAGACCCCAGAGAAGTCAGAGGCAGCCTGGACTTCCTGCATTCTTCCAACTGAACAGTCAATCCCTCTACCTTTTTCACAGAGAAAACCCAGAATAATACAAATACATCCCTCATAAGGGGTGCAGTCCCTAAATATATGTGGTAGAGAGCCCAGGCTGGTCAGAAAAGATATCACACATAACCCTTCCTCTACCCTTCCCTGGGTACGTATCAATAATCAATCTCTGCATGCCTCTTCCATTGACTATAGTCATGAGACTGCAGTCAATGTGCAGCCACCACCCCTAGCACTATGGGAAACCCATCTATGTGCTCTGGTTACAGTGGCCCAGATATATGCTCTGGATAGGAAAGGTTACATTAGATTAGATATATATCAGATGAGCATGGGTGACCATCCCTATTGGAGTGACGGTGTGGATGGAGCTTCATTTCCCTGCATGGCTGCAGACCCAGCACTTAGAACAGTGCCTGGCCCAGAGAAGCCACACAAACCGGCTGGATCAATTACCCCTTGATCCATCAAAACACATAGTACACAGCACACAGCACAAGGCCTACCACAGAAGGTACAAGGCAGACATGGAAGAAGGTGGCAACAGCTGACTTCACCCTCACTTGAGTGTAGGAAAGGAGGAGGCACCATCTCTGGTAAGTTTAAGGTCTGACACAACCACTCAGTCTTCTCAGAACCCTGAGCAGAATAGTTGCTTGCCATGGCCTTGGTATCCCCACATGCACAGTGAGAGTGTAGATTATACAAATTCCCAGGACCCTTCCAGTCCCAAGCTTCTGATTCAAGAGCACTTGCAAGAACTACCATTCAGGCTAAGGGAGTCACTGTTTTGGAGGCCAAGGTCTCACACACAGAATCTACTACCAGGTTCCAAGAGAAGCTATATCCTGGGTACTGCTGGCTACAAGTTTCACCATCAATGGTTACCACCAATGTTTACAGGCCTGGCCTGAGCAACTCCACCAACCTGAGCTCTTCAATTGTCAAGGTGACACAACCTAAAATGACCTGATAAGAGTCTCAACTGAGGAACTGTCTACTCTGGATTAGCCTGTGGGTATGCATCTGTGGGGAAAGGTTCTAAGTTAACTGTATGGTAAGACCTAGCCCACTGTGGGTAGTAGCATTCCCTAAGCAGGGGGTCCTGAACAAAAGTGCAGACATCAAGCCAAGCACAAATATGCGAGTAAGTAAGCATGTGTATTTTCATCCCCTTGCCTCCCCCCACACACACACACCTGCTCTTGACCAGCTGTTTCAGGAAACTGATACACTGGCTTCCCACAATCAACTACATCCTGGTTTGTGAGCTAAAATAAACCCTCTCTCCTCTGAGCTGTTTCTGTCAGAATATTTTATCATAGAAACATAAATTTAAAAAAAATCTCTCCCCCATTCTAGCCTATACACCCTGCTCCTGCATCACCTCACTTACCTGGCTCTCATATTGTGTAAAATATCTACCTGACCCTACGAGGTCACAGGGGTTAAAGGGACCTTTGGCCTGGTGTTATGATGCTCAATTCACCATGCAAAAGGCTGCAGAAACAAAGTTGAACCTATTGCCTTTCAGCTCAAAGAGCATACCTCCCAAGGATTTCCAAAGGGTGTTCCAAGGAATATTCACTAAGTAGGTGAATCTCAATAAAAGGGTCCCTTGGTTCATGAGGTTTAAGAAACATGACATCATCATCCATTCTCTCCTCTTTTCTTCCCCAGCTAAGCAAGTGCATAAACACATTTAAGACTAAAATGTCCCACAGCAATTAAAAAGAAAATCTGGTCAATATTGTCAATTCCAGTGTTCTCCTGGTGAATTTGGCCATAGAACGTGCCTTCTTTATTCCCCCTACAGTCCCCCAAACCATCAACATTTTAAAGAACTGGTGTTTGGGGACTCACAGGCAACTTTTCCGAGTGGCAATCAAAATATGACCACCTAGTCCAGCAGGTGAAACCTGACTGTATTGCCAGGGAGCCACCTCTCTTTTCTGTGGTTTATTTTCTTCTGCCTCTAAGGCCTCAAAGGTCACAGGATCACTCAAGCTTTACCCAAGACACAGTTGCAGCACCAGTGCTAACCTTATCAAGTGCCAACTGGACAACACCACAGCTTTGGCCTTTATGTCTTTTCTCCCTTCTCTGGTAATACCAACCCAGCTCTCCTCTGACCTTCCCCTCACATCTCCTGCCAACCTCACGGGTAAGGACGCTCCCCTTGTCCAGCACATGGAAAGCCCACAGCCTTGGAGTGATGGGTTCAGGAAAATAAACCCAAGCCCAAGTATGTGGGCCCAGGAGTGCCATATTTCTGGGGTATCCTGAAGTTGCCATTGTATCTGCTAAGCTCCCCACTTGTGTTCACCCCAACTTTAGCAGCCACTGGCTAAGTTCTCCAATAAGTTGTCAGAGATGCCCACAGAGGGCGAAAGGGAAAAACTGCCCATAATTAAGGATGCATGGGTGCCCCTCTTCTTTCCAAGACCCGGGACAGGGAGGGGTGTGGTGTGGCAAGGGATGTACCTGTTAACAGCACTTTTCTTTCCAGGTGTACTGGCTCCGTCCACCTGCAAAAGAAACCCAGAACACCTCCATCAGTCACTGCAGAAGATACAGGTTTTGGGTACCACTACCACCCTGGATGGTGCCCACAGAATAGTCTTCAGAAAGTCAAGGCCACAGACTGCTCCATCCCTCCAGGCAACAGATCCTGTCCCCAGCAGCAAAAGGGAGTCAAGACACCTGCCTACTCATAGCTGCTTGGCCCTTTAAATCCAGTGGGGAGCCCACTGCCAACACAAGCCCCCACTGCCAACACGAAGCAGCAGCCACATGCCCTGGGGATGCAGCGAGAAGTAAGTAACTAGTTAAATCTGAGATTGAATTGCTCTGTTTTTATTTTCAGCTGGGATTTCCAATAAAACAGTGGCTGCAGATTTATTCCTACCAACCGGAGGGGAAAAATCCCATTATGTTAAAATATTCTGTCCCCCAACCCTATGAGCAGAGGAAAGCAAGAGAGGGCCAGCTCTTAATCTTTTTATTTAGGGGTGAGGGGGATGGGGAGACAAAGCTGACCAAATGAAATTTTCACAAATCAGAAAATTCTGGTTCAAACGGAGAGACTATGGCCCTGGGAGCTTCCTCTAGTCTTAGGAGGCCTGACTGACAATGTCCTGAGGTCATCACTAGTTCAGGACTCAGGAAGACTTTGGCACAGAGACCAAAGGAGGCTACAGGAAGGTGAACAGCACCAAGCTCCTCCTCCCACTGGCTACAGGTGCTGTTCTTCTTGGCTATCTCAAAATACTGGCAACCATAGTAATTCGAGGAGAACATGTCTGAAGTGCAAGAACATTTGCCCCCAGTGTCCCACTGAACATGCCCACATTTTCAAACACTCCTGGCGAGGTCTGTGGTGCACCTACTATTTCTGGGATAAAACACACACACAGCCATCCTGCATGCACTCCTGAGTGACAACCTCCCCCCTCTCAGATCAAGTTCTACTGCTCAAAGGTCACAATCTTTTTGTATTCTAGCTTTCTAAACTTCGGAGTTGTGGATGAAGAGCCAAGGACCTAAAGTAAAAACATCAGCTGCCTTTTGATATGTGCTTATGGGAGGTTACAACCTCGGAAAACCACAAGGCTGGGTTTGATTTGAACAAACCGTCAATAAAAGTTTCTCATCCCCTAAAGCCCATGTTCCCAGGTTCTCTTAAAACCAAATCAAACCAAAACACCAGGTAATCCAGTAATGACATTCAGTCCATAGCAGGCAAGTAGTGGTAACATTCCTGCTTCTCCACAGAGCCCATTCCTCCCTCTCACCTCAGATCCAGCATCTGCTTGGTCCCTGTGAGTGTCCCTATAGGCTCTTCTTAGCTACTACTCAGTGAATGCCAGTGCAGGGCACAGATGTCTCTCCTCCCCTGTAATGCTCACAGTGGGTCCCAACTCAAAGGCTCAAAGACTTTGTTTACCCAAAGTCCCACAGCTGTGTGTCCAGACCAAGGACACTCTAGAAGCTACCCTTCTCAGCCCCAGAATCTTTTGTCCTCTGCCAATGTTTTGGAAGAGCCAAGTAGAGTTCCCAATCACCACATACAGTCAAACACAGACGGTTTAAAGACAGGAAAGGTGCTACATATATATATGGTATGGAAAGAGTGACAGCTTGTGATTTCAGAAGAAACAAAGTAGAAAGAGGTCTGCCATTTCATGTAAGCAATGGATCAACTACAGCCTCTTCCCTACACCCAATTTCTCAGACTTGATACAAGGCCACTTTTGTGTTCAGGTCCTACAAAGCAGAAGATTTTTGATCCTGGGAGGTTTTAAAAAAATAGTAAAATTCCAAATAATCTCTTGCCTTTCTGGCTGATCTCTGAGTACGGATTTATAATATTTCACATACAATTTTAACATTGTGTTTTTCTACACAATTTTAAAAAGATTTATTATTTCTGTTTATGTGTGTGTATATCTACATGAATTTATGTGCACCACATGTATCCAGGTGCCTGTTGAGGTCAGAAGGTGTTAGATTTCCTGGAGCTGGAGTTACAGGTAGTTGTTGGGTGCCCTCTGTGGGTGCTGGGAACCAAACTCTGGTCCTCTACAAGAGCAGTACTTTCTCTTAAATTCGGAGCCATCCCTCTAGTCCTTCCCATCACGATTGTATGCCAGGCTGGCCAGGTCCAACACAGTGAGTGTGCAGCAGGAAGGGACGGTGGATGCTCTGCTTGGGCACATGTGACAGTCTTCAGCTGTTTCTCTGTCACTGACTCGTGGCTTCATACAGCTGGAAGTCACCGCTAATTGAACTATTCAAACTGTTGTTGAAACAAGTCCTTGCAGAGAATGGGGCCAGGTTGGGTGGAGGATGCTGGCTGGCACCAGGTACCAGAGCTGCTAAAGGACTATCTCGACTGGGGAATGCTCTCCCATTCATGGTCATGTACTAGTGCTGGGAAAGGATGAAGATGGATGGACAATGGACACGGTGGGGGGGGGGGAGTTTCTCCAAGACAACATGTCACTATCGCAGCAGCACATGGTAAGCACAGCTTTTGTGACTGACATGAGACTGATATAAATGAGGTCACGTATGTGAACATGTTTAGTCTGGACTGGACAAGGATAACCATCAGCAGTCCCAGAGGCCAACACTTACTGGGTCTAGGAAACCAAGGCTCGGGAAAGCGGGATGGTCTGCACAAGCTGCAGAACCAGCCTGGACTGCCCGGAATCCCTTGTTCATGGGGGCAGCTCAATAGGTTCTACCAGACCACCACAACCCCAAGACTACCTCTCACGGCCCAGATGACACCAATTACAGTTTAGCATCAAGCTCAGGTAGGGCCCAAGATGTGACAATTTAGATAATGTGACTGTTGTGGTCACCTGTCGTCCTTTGCTAAGAAACTACATGCTCCAAAAGGACCCCTCCCTTTGGCTTCTCACACCCTGGTTCTGTCGGTGTCCTACTGTGAACCTCAGGCAGGCTTCCTGTAAACTGACACTCTCTAAGGGTCATAACAGAGGCAGGCTCAGAGGGTAAAGCTCACCCTCCCCCACTCCTGTGCCACCTCTGCCTGTCTATGTTGAGTTGACCCAACCTCTACCACCAATGAGATATAGAGGAGACGGGCCCATGGGCAAGACTCCTCCTCATTCTTGCTGGCTGGGGGCAGGCATGGCGGCCCTCCAGCCCCTCTCTGGTACCCCACCCTCGTTCCCAGCTCCCTCCATTCCTCATCCCCCAGCTTCTCTCCAGTACCTGGATAAGGCTAGTTTTGATTTCCTTCCTCCCTCCTTTCCTTCCCAGATGCATGTTAAGATGTTCTTTTCCATTCTCTTATTAAGGGTTTTCTTGGAAAGAAAATATTATTCCAAACCCAGAAATTTTATTTCTAAATTTGTGCAAATGTAAGTTGTAAGACATTAGCTGCATTTCACATTTTGTGCAAATGGCAGAAACAGGCAATTCGTGTGCTACGGGGATGGGGGCTGGCCAACGATTTCGATAAAATAAACCCTTTTTTAATTTAAATGCTAATGCACTGAATTAAAATTTAATAACTGAGGAAATTGAAAAGCCGAGCAGGAATATTGGAAATAAATCCAAGCAGAAACAGCTGAAATTAAAAATTCTAGAGAGTGGGAGGACAGCAGCTAAGCTGTCTTATATGATTACATTTTTTTTTTTTTCAGAATGAAGCAAAAAAAAAAATCCTATCTCTCGCTGGCTCTAGGGCAGTAAATCCACAGCGCTGTGATTTATTGCTCAATTTTCCTGAGGGAAAAAGGCTTTCTTTCATGCTGAAATATTTCATAAATTTCAAGCCAGCATAAATTCTTAATTTAAAAGTTATGGAGGTCACATTTAGTGCACGGGTACAGTTCCAAAATCTTAAAGGCATAGCAGCAACCGAAAAAAAAAAAAGAAAAAAAGAAAATGTAAAAAAGAAAAAAAAGAGAAAGAAATCAGGGTAGAGACACACACTCTCCCTCTCTCTCTCCTCTTTTCTTTCTTTTTTTTTCTTTTTTCATTTTGTTTTCAATTCACAAGTGAGATTCCATTCTTAATGATTCTTCCTGGATGGACAAAACCCAACCAGACATATGGAGAACCGGTGTGTGTTTGGAGATCAGCTGTAAAAGATAGAGATGGAGATTTAATTCAATTAGGAAAAAGGGTTTTTTTTTTTTGTCTTTTTCATTTTTGTACAGCCACTTGAGGAATCCTGACAAAAATTTCCTCCTGGCTGGGAAGGGGTGAAGGTGGGGGAGGGGGTGGCCAATGTAATTGCTTCTCTTAGATCTCCAATCTTTTGTGCACTGTGATATATTCATTTGTTATACAGCTGTTCAGTGGCGGAAAGAATGCTGGGGCGCCCATAATTCTAAGCAAATCAATCAAAAATTAATGATTTGTCATGCTTGCACAATGGAGGAAAAACAGCTCCTTGGGTCCTGAATGCCTGATCTCCAAGAAGGAAATGCCTTTCTGTGATAAGAGGCAGCGGAAGGGGGACCACATATGATTCAGCATCTCTGTGAAGATGGAGGGGTCACATCTTGGGGTGAGCATGTTCAAGATGGCACCAGGACAGGTTCTTGCATGGTGCATTTCCATAGTGGTATAATTAGGTTCTTGGCTTTGCCATCCCCATCCCCCATGGCAACTTGAAAATCACTTCCTGTCTGGAGGACTGACTAGCTCCCCTCCCCCAGCTAGATTTAACTTGTGCCTGTGCATTGTTCTCTCAGCACTACTAAGACAGCACCACTAGCACCTCCCACAAACGCCAAAGGGCTGTGGCCACCCTTCTGGAGTGCCTGGTGTACTACCCCAGACTATGTGTCACTCTTTCTAGGCCATGTCTCCAGCATCCAGCTCAGGGAAAATACTCAACAAATACCACTGGATTCCCTTATAGAGATTGTTGTTCAGGAAATTCTGTTTGCAAGATTGCCCTGATGACCAGACCACACTGGGAATGCAGCATGTGTATGAATGCACACACGCGTGTGTGTGCTTGTGTGTGCTCACACACG